AGAGGGACCCAAAAAATGAAGTTAATTTATTAAACAATTGTGTATTTATTCTTACATGTTTAAACTTCAGTCACCTTCAAAGTACTCTCCATTTGATGCAACACACCTATTGAGATGCCTTTTCCACTGCTCAATAAAAGTTTTTGAACTTGTCAATTTGGATGCCTTTTAGTGCTTCTGCTGCTTTTTGTTTCACCTCTTCCACATTGGCAAAATGTTTCCCTTTGAGGAATTTTTTCATCCTGAGATATAAAAAAAAATCACCCGGGGTGAGATCAGATTGAATAGGGAGGGTGGGGCACAGGGATCATGCCATTTTTCTGTCAAAAACTGCTGAACTCTCAGCACGGTGTGGGCAGGTATGCTCATAAATCACCCATCATGAAATGGGCAAATGCATTGAAAGAATCTCAAAAAAAAAAAAAAAATCACTGAAGTCTCTCACAATAACAATAGCTGGTACACCGATGCTGATGGGTTCTGGTTCCTAGAACACTTATTCAGTGTGGGAAGCCTGTACTATAAGGGGTCTGCTTTCCAAAATATAATTCTGGGGTTTTCTTTGTCCCAACACCCCTTGCACTTAGGATCAACAAGCATGGAGTGAAGAGAAGTAATACAATTTATCAGAAAGTAGAGATAATGTGACCCTTCTTTGGGGCTGTTATGAGGATTGTGTGAAATAAGAAACTGTATTACTTTTCTATTGCTGCCATAAGAAATTACTACAAACCGAGACTTAACTAACAAAAATCTACTATTTTACAGTTCTGAAGCATTGTGTTTTGACAAAAGTCCTCACTGGGCTAAAATCAAGAGGTTAGTAAAGTTGTGTTCCTTTCTGGAGTTTCCAGGGTAGAATCCATTTCCTTTTCCAGCTTCCAAGGCTGCCTAGATTCTTTGACTCAGGCTCCCTTCCTCCATCTTTAGCAACAGTTTGTCAAATCCTAATGTCACATCACTATGATCTTCTCTTCTGTCACCCTCTTCCACTTTTAAGGACCCTTATAATTACATAGGACTCACCCAGATAATTCAGAATAATCTCCCTAATTTACAGTCAGCTGCTTTAGTCAGGTTTTCCAGAGAAACAGAATAGGATACACATAAATATATAGAAGCTAATATTTATTATGAGGGACTAGATAGCACAATTATATGGACTAAGAAGTTCCACAATCTGCTTGCTGTAAGTTGGAGACCCAAGAAAGCCAGTGGTGTAGTTCTAGTCCAAACTTGAAGGCCCAAGAGTCAGGAGAGTCAATAGTGTAAGTCTTGGTCTGAGTCTGACAGACTAAGAATCAGGAGTGCTGATGTCCAAGGGCAGGAGATGGAAGTCCTAGCTCAAGAAGAGAGGGCAGATTTGCCCTTTCTCCACCTTTTTGTTCTTTTTAGGCCCTCAACGGATTGGATGAAGCCCACTCAAACTGGTGACAGTGATCTTCTTGACTCAGTCTATGAATTCAAATGCTAATCTCTTCCAGAAACACCCTCACAGATAAATAATGTTTTACCAGCAATCTAGGAATCCCATAGGCCAGTTAACCTATAAAATTAACAATCACATCAGCTGATTAGTAATCTTAATTTCTCTTGACCATGTAATATAATATATATAGTTTCCATGGTTTAAGATGTGGACATCTTTGGTGACATTATTCTGCCATTCACAAAATCAATCACCTAGTCTAATGCCTAGAAAATGCTAAATGACAATTAAATACAAATTCTCTCCCTCACTCTCTGTATTAGTCTGCTTGGGCTATCACAATAAAATACCCCATACTGGGTGTCTTAAATAGCAAAGATTTATTTCTCATGGTTTAGAGACTGGGAAGTTCAAGATCAAGGTGCCAGCTGATTCAGTTCCTAGTGAGGGTTCTTTTTGGTTTGCAGACAGCTGTTTTTTCCTCACAAGGCCTTTCCTCTGAGAGGGAGGAGCAAACTGCCATCTCTTCTTAAAAGGACACTAAAGCTATTGTATCGGGACCCCATCCTTATGACTTCATTTTGCTCTACTTCTTTAGAGGCCACATCTCTAAATATAGCCACAGTGGGGTTTAGGGATTCAACATGAATTTTGCAGGAACATAGATTCAGTCCATAACACTCTACCCTAACAATTCAACAATTTCCTTTTCACTTTGCCTTACCATTTTCAATATGCCTACCCAATCTCACCTATTAAACAATTCACATACTTGTCATATTATTAGTGCCCAATGGGGGGCTTTTATGGAAACTATCCATTCCTAAGGTTTTAATTATATTGGCCAAGGGCTCCCACACTGCATAACCTCAGTCTACACTCCCTGTGCTTTTAACTCTTTTTTTTTTGTGAGTTGGAGTCTTACTCTGTTGCCCAGACTGGAGTGCAGTGGCCGCTCCCGGCAGTGCAGTGACCGCAGCCTCGACCTGCTGGGCTCCGGCGATCCTTCCGCCTCAGCCTTCCAAGTAGCCGGAATTACAGGCATGCGATATCACGCCCAGTTGATTTTTTGATTTATTGTAGAGATGAGGTCCCGCTGCCCAGGCGGGTCTCGAACCCGCGGGTTCAGGCAATCCACTCACCTCAGCCTCCCAAAGGCGTGGGATTACAGGCTGAGCCACCGAGCCTGGCGCTTTTAACTCTATAACAACTGCTTTCTAGACACTCTATTTGTATATTTAATAGGCTTCTCAAACTCTACTTGTACAAATAAAACACATTAACTCACACTGCACTCCTGAAAGTGTTGCTTGTCCTATGTTTCTCATCTCTGATATGGTGCCTCCTCATTTGGTAGTAACTTAAGTCATCCAGCCCTTCTAATTCTCCACATTCAATTAATCACAAAATCTTAGCAATTTTAGCCGGGCTCAGTGGCTCAGCCTATAATCCCGCACCTTTGGGAGACTGAGGTGAGTGGATTGCCTGAGCCCGCAGGTTCAAGAC